CCTTCACGTTTATCTCCTTAGGCCAACCGCCTTCCAAGTGTAACATCCCGCTCTCCTTTGTTACTTTACTAGCGGTTTGCGTCTGACGTAAAAATAAAAAAAGATCGCGTAAATTGTGCGTTATAAACGGTTTCGCTTCTCCATTTCTAACCGTTCTTTTATTACACATGTAAAACCTAACTTAACACTTAAGCACCCTTGAGAAACGCATCATGGCGTTAAAGTGGTTCACTTAAAGAGGAAACGTGCAATCGTTTTCTCTATGTTTTACACTGCAATGTATATTTTCAGCATAGCGCAGTTTACCTGTTCTGTACACGCATATTCTTATTTGTTATGGAGTTGATTGCATAAACAATTTTATGAAGCATTTTAACGTATCGCACATTTATGGCACATGTCATCAAAAGCATGTTCACAAATATTGATTTTTTGTGTTTTTATAGAAGATTTAAATCTGTTAAATTTAATTTTTTCATTGCGAGAAATATATGGTTTATAATGTAAACTGATGCGAGATACACCGTGAAGCAATATTATGTTTGAATTAAAACTTTCCGCGAGTTTTATTTCGCGCTCTCCCAGATTGAAAACCCGGATTTTCGTCGTAAATTTTGCATATTTTTCAGAATCGCATGCGATATTTAATTTAAACTGACATAGCTCTGATCCTCTGAAATGTAAACAAAATATTAGGAAGACTGTCGGTCGGCGTATTTACATGTCCGACGCACTTATTAATTCTTGGAAATTAAATGCCGCAAACGCTAAACTCGCTGCAAAATTAGTTCGTTCGACGATGACTCAGCAGAGCTATTTTCATAATCCCAGCTTTTCCTTAAATCCTATGATATACAAAGTCTCGAATATAGAAACTCATTAGCGTTTAGCCGGTGCTTAATTTACGGATAATCATTTATGCAGCTGCTGATGATATATCTCGGAAGCATGCAACATCATGTTAACATAATAATAGAATAATCGATGCTATTCAGATCTTAATCTAATAATCTCTAATATACACTTGTCCAAAACTTTCAATATTCTTCAAAATTTATCTACAATGTTCTAATATTTTTTTTAAATCAGCTTTTATTTTTTTGTATTACATGATTTGCTTATATTTTTTTTATTAGAGTGAAAATTATATGAAAGCTAATAATTATATAAGAATAAAGACTAATAATGACTAAAAGTTAAAATAAATAATAATTAATATATAATTAAGAATCATACAATAAACAAGGAATTGAAACTTCTCGCTGAAACTTCGTGATTCCTTTTAAACGTACAATAATTTAGTTTCTGAAGAATAATTTCGCTGAAGAAGATTCCAAATCAAGTCGTAATGACATTCGATAAACTTTGTGTACAAAATAATTAAATATTAAAATTATTTAAAAGATTAATTGCCCTCTAATATATTTCTGCGCTCTACTCTTATTAATTTAAATTCTAATTGTTTAATTTTAAAAAATCTGAAGGATTAAAAATACTTTTCCCCTTTTCTATTGTACAATAATTTACCTCGTGAAGAGCAAATTGCTTGGACATCTGTACACCACGGTGGCAATGACTCATGTGGATGTAGTTTCGCATGAGTTCCGGATCCGGTAGGATATTCTCCTGAACGATCGAGTCGGTCTCTCCGAAGAAACATTGCTTGCCGAATTGCGACCTTGGCTTGATGTATGCGTACTGGATCAGCATTATTGGAAACCGTTCTCCAGTTTCTGGGACGAACGTAAAACGAGGAAAGGATGACACACTCACGCAAACAGAAACGAGACACCTCCGTTAAACTATTTAGAGGGCGGGCGAAGGAAATCGACGAACGGTGCAGGTTGCACGCTTAAACGCTGATACTAGTGATACTTTTCACGCACGAGCGCCTGAAGTTGGTCGTGATACGCGATACGCTCGATATAGCGTGAAGGGCCATTAAGGTGATGTTCAGCTTGAAATACGACACGCAAATGAACCATGTCGTTACGCAACGTCTTGATCAAAAAGACTGATGCATCCCTTCGTTAATGATGAATGTGAAATTATAAATGTAAATGCGAAAATTATGAAAAAAAGTTTTAAAAGCAATATTTTTGTAAAAATAAATAAGAAAGTTTAATTTAAAGTCTGATTTCATGTTCTTGTTTCCTAATAACGAGAGTAATTTTTCTATTATTTACGGTAAAAAATCTAAGTTTTTCCGGAGAAATTGCACAAAAACAGATTAGTAATGTCCAATGCTGTACGTTTCTTCTTCGGAATCATTTCCTTCTTTGCTTTGTAGATAGAAAACAGATCTCGAGTCTCAAAGGAATCGTTTCGGATTTCAAAATGGACATGTACGGCTAAGTTGGAGCTTGTGAGAAAAACTTCGCATAATCTCCTACACGGCGTTCTGTTACGGCAGTGCATCCTCTTTGTGCATCCGCGATTTGATTGCGCGTCAATTCGCCGCGCTGGATGCACTCTATGAAATTACGGTACCGGCCGCGTATTCTCGTGCCGCCGGGCCATCACTATGACATTATCCCTTCGCCGAGAGCACTCACAATTTCTGCGGTCCGCAATCCGGCGTCCGCCAATCAACGCTTTCGCGCCATCCGATAAATCGGATGAGCCCGCCACTGCCCGAGCGCTGCACCTAATGAATCAGATTCGATGCGAAGCCACCGGCATTGTGTGATCGATTATCCTGCGTACGCGGCGACACGAATCTGAAACTTGGCGATATCCCAATGCCAGATTCAATTTGCAAATCCCTAATGGTTGCACGCGATCGGAATGAAAGTTTAAGAAATTTGAGCTGCGTATTTAGCTGTTAGCGTTAAAGCTTGATAGCTCTTATAGTATACTTACGCTATTAGAGCTATCAAGCTTACTATTAACTATAGTAATTTCCAGAATCAAGTCCTTTTCTACACGAAGTGTTCCAAAACTGACGATAAATATTTTATAGACAGATTCTTTGTAATATTTTAAGACAAAAAGTTTAATACAAACATGTCGAGGCTATGCTAGTTTTTGAATGCTTTCCAATTGTAAAATCACTAAACACTTTTGTACACGTAGCTATACAAGTTGCGTTCCAATTATCGTAATATTGTCGACACACCATTACACATCCGTACTCAATCCGAGAACTACTAGTCGGCTATGTAAGCTTCTGTTTTCTAGTGACAATTACATGTTACTACCCCGGTGGCTATAAATAAAGTTGGAGGACGTTGAGTGGCTGATGATACTTTTGTTTTTTTTTTATTCAATACAGACGAAAAAAGCTACAGTTAATTTAACTCTATCCGAAATAGATCGAAACCATACACAATGTACACATTGTGTTCCAATTGAATCGTGCACAATGCTACACTTTGTGCATTCCTATGTACATTTGTGTTAAGATATGTTAAGCAATTGAAGAGCAGTCTTTAATTAGAAGAGTTTAAAAATTACGAAAACGGAGCTAGAATTTCGCGCGATCATAAATGGCACGGTGAAGGTGTTTTCTCAATGTGAATATGTTTCCTTAAACTTTATGCCTTTGATAATAATAAAATTCTTCACGCAAACACACACTGATCATTTTGCCATCTCTGAGCTTACGAAAACCTCGTAATTTGCCATTTTAAATCTATTATAGCCTCGACATTTTTGTATTAAATTTTTCGCTTTAAAATGTCAAAAATATTTGCCTTTAAAATTTATTTATTGTCAGTTTTGGGGCATCCTATAGAAAGAATAAATTTAATAATTACGACGTTTATACTGAAAAAATATTAAATTTTAATAAATGTTTGAGCGTCAGTTTTTTTTGTTATGTAAATATTTATTATAAATAAATTGTTTACTATAAGTAAATATTTACTTACATTAGTATCACACACACACACACACACACACACACACACACACACACACACACACACACACACACACACACACAATTTCCATAAAAAAGCACATAGTATAATCTTCTACATACCTAAGTGTGAAAAATTATTAGTTTGTTATTTATATATATTTTTACAGTATAAAATTTCACAAAATATTTTTTAATCAAAATATATATTTTATGAACTGGCGCGCGATTTTATTTTACAAAAAATCCGTCCGATATATTTTATATACATTTAGCTTATAATCAAAAATTATAATGTAAACAGATCAAATGAAAATTATTGCCTGTATATTGACGTAATATGAAGCTCCGAATACGTGTCGAAGATCCAATGAAATTGGCGCAACCACGACAGTTTGCGTGGACATAAACTAATGACAACGTTATTCCTTGAGTTTCCGAACGGAATTCACCAATCAATATCCTCGTACGAGTTCTCAAATCAGATAATCCGGAGACTGAACCACTCATAATGAATCTGATCGATTGAATTGGGACATCGCGTATGTGCGACGACACATATCGAAGATGAACCTGAAACGCGTCGCTAAAGCAATTTAGTCGCGGATTCTAAACCACGGTAGCGGCGTCGCGAATAGAAAGTTCGGAATGGAATTCACACGACCTCGACTACGATTCTAGAGTTCCCCGAATTTTGGTGGCAATTAGGACCGATGTTCAATGGACGATCTCCGGCCGACGGATGGCACGACGAAGTTACGAGAGGGACTGGAAATTAGTTTGGGCGTCGAAATGTGTGAAATGATAGTGGTGAATTGTGATATTTATATTGTAATTCTATTATAAATCGAATATTTGTACATGCATATATGTATATGTATGTTCAGCATTGTAAATTTAACACGTATGAACATTGCAATATCGATGGAGCTCCTCTTATTGCGTACTTCAATCGTTCATTTAACTTTTACTCAGCAAATTGCACACGTTTGATACGTGTTGCGTCAAAATTTCCAGTAAATACAATAATTTTCGAAATTCAAATAAATTTAAATGTATTCTTTTTGGACCGTGAGTCTACATGTTATTTTTGCACGACTTTTTTTATTAACTACATCAAATGGTTGACGCCGTCAACCATCATCGTTTTATTTTATCTGATAATATTTTGACATTTCTAAAATGTTACTTCTATCTTAATAAGCGAAAAATTGACGGCAGAAAAGCATTGAGGAAAGTAACAAGATCAAAGTCCAACTATAGAAATTCTACTCTGAAGCTTCCAGTGAAAGATGTTGGGAGCTTACTGGCGGAAGGTAAAGTCACGTTGGAAGTCTTAACTTACACCAAGCAAAATGTGTGTTAAAAGAACCGTAAAGATTTAACTCATACATTTTATACGGAGATAGTACTCTGCAGTCAACCATCTTATATTTATTAAGAAGCCTGGCTTGTGTTTATTGAGTAAGCTTTCAAAGAGAGAGCAAATTCAATATTATACAAACACACTTCGAAGATTTTATGTCTCTTACGTAAATAATACGTCTCTTCTCATCCAGGTATCCGCAAAGACGATTTCATTGACCACATTCATTGACGAAACTAAAAAGGCTGTCAGAGAATTTTATCAAAGAAGAACCTCATTCGCCTCAATAGAGCAAGATTTGCGCAATGCGTATTTTATTTAGAATCTTGACATTTTTGTCGCATGAGAAATCGCGAATGACACACGCGTTAAGCGAGTCTCTGAGAATTCCACAGAGATTACTGGCGTTACAAACTGTTCCAAATCGCATGATTTCATATCGGAACTTTATAAGAGGAAATAATTCTACAGCTGATGATTTGTTACTTCTGCAATGTAATATTAACGAAGGCATAGTTGCGCGATTTAAACGAAGGAAGAGTACGCAGTCCAGCGAAAAGGATGACTCGAAACAACACCACGAATGTATCGAGAATCATCGACAGTCTGCGGAATCCTGTGAAAAACCGCGCGAATGGCGTAGCGATGGTTATCAGATATCGACAGAAAATTATCAAAAGATTCGCAGTGACTTATTGAATCACGACGAATGTTACCAGTCGATTAAATCCAATTCCTCGAATTATTCGGACAAATCTATACCATACAACAATCAGCAAGCGTGCGAGTTACCGAAACACGAGTCTTATACATCGAAACCAGCGACTCGAATAACGTCTGAGAAATGGATTTGCGGAAAACCAGCAACGGAAAGAAAGATTTATTATAAATGCAAGCCGAAGTCGTGCATTTATCCGGACAACCGGAAAGAACCGATACATTTTCCATCGTCACGAGACAATTGGAAAGACGAGTCAAAGCAAACTGCATCTTATCCTACGCTATATTCTGAATCAGAGACTTTGTCTTTCAAAAAAATTACATCGGATGAGAAGAAAGCTTCTCTTGTTAAACATAAAATACCAAAGGAATATCCTACATCGGATCCATACGAGTATTACAGAAAACCTGATCCTCCACCGCCAAGATATCCACATTGGAGTGAAAATCCACCGTCTTACTGCGACGATTGCTTGAAAAAGACGACCCGTTCATCCCCTGTTAAAGCCTCACCAATGATCTTCATCCCTGACAAGGGACCGCGGAAATCCCGTGCGAAAGACACTGTGTCACCTCCACAGAATATTCATGAGACTTCCAGCGGGAGCCCGAAAGGAAATGAGTGCGATAGAACAGATGCCAAGGCACTTCACTTGCAGAAGAGTGGATCAAAAAAACGTAGCACGATCTCTTTCGAAGACAAATGCGCTGCTTCTTTGACAATTCCTGCGCCTAACAGAATAATGGAATCTAAAATTCAGCACTTTCCAACGCTGACGAAAGATGGACGTTGTTGCGTTGAAAAACCTGAAGAAAAATTTGTCACGCCGGACGTCAGCGATTGTAACCCCAACATGGCAAGTTTCAAATATCGATTGAGTAAATGTCCTGATGTTAAGGAAATGTGGGGTATCGGCATTAAACGCGAGCCACCTGTTGACGTTAGAGTGCGACAAGAGCAAGGAACTCTTTTGTCCGACTATAAGAAGATAAAGAGATCAGAATCGCGGCGAGAAACTACAAGAAGAAAGAAGAGATTCAAGTCGCGGGTACCGAGTAACGGATGGACACAACAGAGGTACAAGGTTCGCTTGAAGATTTTCCAGAAAAGAAATAGTCTCGATCCTTGTCTTCCGCGGATCGCCGAACTGATACAACCGCGCGGCGAAAAAATGCGATCGAAACTGTTAAAGTTTGCTGTGGACGAAGGCGAATCTTTTTCGCAATTGAAAAGCTCGTGCCCACGTAGTTATCCATCCAAGATACCGATTGCCGAGACGAAGAGTTATCCGACGAAAATGAACGAAAGCAGTTTGATTCGTAATCAATATCTGGGAAAACAATCTTGCAAAAAGCGTCGCTGAACTTTTGGAAACTACTTTTCGATGTAGAATATTTGAAAGTTGCGTTGGCAGATTGAGTCAATATTTATTTTAAGAATTTTCAAAATTTACATTTATTCTTTCAATATGTATGTAAACATAAATTTTAACAGCGTTGTAAATAAAAGGGAATATGTAATAAGCGCGAAAGAAACAGCACATTAGTAACATTATTTTAATAAAAATAAAAATTTTGATACAGCTTAGTTATATAGTTATTACAGTAAATTACATACAAAAGTAGTGCTTGCGCAACTAATGTAATTATTTTTATAATTATCTTTAAACAGTTATTTAATTCTACTAAAATGGCAGATTTTTTGTGATAACAGTAATTTCTGTGACAAAGACCGTTTAGAGTGCCCATTTAATTTATTTTACTTTTTATTTATATTAATAGGAAATAGTATAACAGCGAATTTTAAGTGAAATATATGCACGAGACATGCAAAGGTGACATTATAAAGGTGTAGAAAAGGGACATGCGGAAATGAAAAAATGCAGCTCGCGTGGCCTGAGACGGCTGCAAAAGAAGTCTGTTCGCAGCAGCTGGCCTCTAACTTTTCACGTTTATCATTATCTCACCCTCTCATCGTACACCCTTATTTTTGCACTCGGTGGAACAAACTTGCGCATCAAACGCCGTTGTTTTATGACCGGTATACATTTTCATTTCTGTCGGGAAATGATATATCTCGTAGCCCTAATAAACGCGACTCGGGATTTAGTGAGCATTTATCTTGTCTATATTGGAAATAATGGGAAAAATAAAAACGCACGAGTTTGTGTTAATCCTATTCTAATAACTAATTAGAAATCTCGTGGTAGATTTTGCATTTTCTAATTCATGTTTTCTCGATTTTTTAATAGAAATTTCATAGAATATTAACGCTGTAAAAATGTTAATAAATTAAATACGTTCATTAATTATTAATTAATTTTCGTAATGTAACTTAACAATAAGAGAAAAAAATGAGAGAGAAAGAGAGAGACAGTTGAGATTAAAATTTGTAATATAATATGTATGTAATCTTCTTAATATAATTGCACATGATGTACATTTCTTTAGAATTCTAAATTTTATTTACATATTCTACATTTATATACTTATATATTGTATACTTACGCTTATATATTGTATACTTATGTATATACTTATATACTACAATATTTATATACGCTTACACACACAATTGGTTTTTCTTTCCACATTCATTTAATGAGTTCGTAATACATACAAGCAGCGGATGTTACATCGCTCCAGTGACTCAAAATTGTTACCCATTTAGAAGTACATTAACCTGCACTCGTTTTTCTCCGTCATTGAAATTACACGCGATTAAGGGGTACGATAAAACAGCGGAAGAACGATCACTGCTTGTAATGTTCACGATTGTTAACTTCTAATTGAACATCAATGAGTAGCCTAAGTCGGTCGTTTTCTCTAACGGACTTGAAATAACGAAAACCACGGTGACATTTCACGATACTCATACGGAACTATTAACATTGTTACAGATAAATGATGATTGGTTCCACATGGAGCATCGATCCGTGGCGAAGAGGTCGACGGAACCACATCTCGAAATGCACCAAAGGCTAATGAATGACTTCAGAGTACGTCGAGCGGAGCAACAGCGGGCAAAATCGCGTACTAAAAGGGATCTTATAATCAAACGTCCGTCCAATATACTAACCATGCTAAACGATGAGAGGTGGCCTCAGATGTGGTATTTGGTAAGCAATTTTAATCAACAGCAAATAATGCGTGTTTATTTATCGGTGTAACCGCACACAATGTCTGTTGTATTACGTTGCACCGATAAATAAACACATATGGTTTTATACAGTCAAAGTATTAAAGATATAATATTAAAATGGAAAGTATAGTAGGTAATTAATATATACATATGTATATTTTTTTTTATAACAAAAAAGTACAGTTATATTTATCAGAAATACATTACCAACTTGGAAAAACGTTTGCAAGTTTACATTTAATTTAGCAATAATTGTGTACCTTCTATATTATCGATAAACGTAAAAGGTGCAATAGCGTTTTATGAAATTTTTTTAACAAATAAAGTATAAATTAAATAAATAAACAATATAATGAAAAATTAAAGAAACTACAAAGTGAGTTCAATCGATATCGAGTTAGAAAAGGCGATGTTTCCATCGTAAATGAAGACTCACGATCGGAAGTAGTGTATGTCGAAAGTATTGGATAATTTTTCTTTTCAGAATAGAGGAAAGGGGTTAGACATGAACGTGCAAGGTGCTTGGGCTGAGGGAATTACAGGAAATGGCGTCGTCGTCACAATTCTTGACGATGGATTAGAGAAAGATCATCCAGATCTGTTCAAAAATTACGTGAGTATATTTGAGTATTTTACTAACATTTTTTTTAATTTATCAACCGGATTTTTAGAAAAATGTTTTCTAGCGTAATTATAAAGCAAACTCATTTGTAATATTAAAAAGTTCTGCATTTAACTTACGTTTAAAATATTACGAACTGGAGAAGCAGTCATGTTCAAATAAATTGCGTTTTGTAATTTCTTGTGACAGTTCCGGTAATCTTGTGAAGTAGCTTTCTATTTGATTAAATTTACGCGAATAAGTAAAATCGCAATGCACTTAATATCTAGTTAATGTTGTTCGATGGACGAATGTTCGATACGTAAATACATTTGCTGACATATGAAAAAAAAAAAAACAAAAAGAAAGCAAGGAAAAGTTCTAACGGAACATACAATAGAATACGGCGGATGAAGGCATATATCACGGATGCACTGGGAATATCAGCTCTTGAACGCGAATATTGGAAGGGGGTTATCCAGCCCATGTATACGTATACCGAATTGCTATTGATTCACGGATGGTTACATTGAATGAGGCATCTGCGCACGTAGTAGAAAGTGAATCGTATTAATCAACCAATAGGCGCACGCTGCAATGGTGCGCCTTAGAGCGTTGCTCTGATTATGCGAGCTTATATCCCGTCGCATGTATTTCTCATTATGCAGATGTTGCATTAATGAAAAGGTATTAAGAAGATATCCGGATGTGCGTGATCAGGGATTAAAACATAAATAATACTTCGTTGCTCTAACGACAATAACGTCTAATTATTATAATACCTCTGTTACAAATATTATCTATTCGAAAAATCTCTTTACATTAAAAAAAAAAAACAGAAATTTATTTCGCTTACAACAATTTTTAACGTATATATAATTTTTTATTAAAATCTTTGCTAAAACTTCTCTCGCACATCCGTTTCACGATATACTAAATGTCTCTTACTTGTTCTGCGATTATCTAGGTGTACACGTGTTATATTTTTATTCGGTTAATATTCTACTTGTATATACATGTCTTTGTTCCTCATAATGAGAAAGCGGTGAACAGGATTCATGAAACGTGTGAATTTTAATTAATGTCATTCTCGGTTTCTGTTGTAGGATCCTCAGGCTAGTTACGACGTTAACAGTCACGATGAAGATCCCATGCCGAGGTACGATCTCGTAGATAGCAATCGACACGGTACCAGGTGTGCCGGAGAGGTCGCAGCCACTGCCAACAATTCTCTTTGCGCTGTAGGTGTTGCTTTTGGAGCTGGCGTAGGTGGTAAGTATTTTCTTTGAAAAGGATTATTTAATGTTTCGACTTACTTTAAGAATCAAAGAGACTTTATGTACATTTTTTAAAACTTTTTTATAGGTATAATTTAAGAGCTCTGACGAGCTATGAAAATTTTTATTTCAATCCGTGTTTTATCTTAATCTTGAATTGGACGCGAGTAATGTTAAATTTTAATTGCTGTTTTAATAAGAGCTTATTGCGCAAAAGTTCGCGTGTAAGATAAAAATAAGGTATTAAAAAACTTTTAAGAAAAAAAAGGAAGGTAAAATATTTAAGATATATTAAATCATCGGAAGTGACAGTTTAATTCCAAGCAATCACTTAAATCTATTTACAGTTCTGTTGCCAATTAACAGCAGCGAAGTCAGTGCCGAAACTCACGTTACTGTGAATAACACGTGTTTGTAATAAGCAGAATTGATATCGCGAGGTCGCATCATTTTCGAATTAGAATCGGGATTGGCAATAGCCTATTACGTGCATTACATTCGGAACTGTTCAAATCGGTGCCCAATTTCGACCTTGTAAATTGGAATTCTCTATTCCACGTACCATCGTAATTATGTAGGATAATTAACTCAAACGAGGAATCTATGCTGTTTAACAGTTTGAAAATTCCTTATATATACATGTATATGTATTGTATATATCTGAATAGAATACATTCTCAGAAAACTAGAGTTAAAGATTTGTATAGAATATTTTTATATACGTGCGAAAATTCCATTATTTACGAATATAATATGCTATCATAATGCTGTATAATATTAATGGTTAGTGCAAGTATATATATATATATATATGTATATAGTATATACATAATTCAGATTGAATTATTTAAGCATTAAAACTGTAACCATTACGCTCATTACTTCTATTGCTTATTGTTGAATTTTCAAATGTACGGTCCAGTAAAATTCTTATTGTGAATTGTTAAATTTTTATAATTATTTTTTTAAATAGGTGTTCGAATGCTGGATGGCGACGTAACAGATGCCGTCGAAGCAAGATCTTTGAGCCTTAATCCTCAACACATCGATATTTATAGCGCCTCGTGGGGACCGGATGACGATGGCAAGACTGTAGACGGTCCTGGTGAACTGGCCACCAGAGCTTTCATCGAGGGAATTACCAAAGTGAGTATTTGCTATAGAAAATTACTATTTATACTTTGCATGTAACATATAATTTTATTTAGACGTAAATTATAAAAAATTCTAAGATTTCTCAAATTTATTACTTTTTAATACAATTATATTTATTTTCGGTATTTTTAAATTTTAAAATAAAAATACAAAAGTTGGATAAAACGAATTACGTTCATATTTATTTTTAATTTAGGTTTGGTAGTTGGGTTGGCAATATTTTCTGTTAAAAAAATAGATTTATTCAAAAAATTATTTTAAGATCGAAATACTTTGTACAGCTTTTCAACAGCAACTTTCTGCGTAAATATTATATAAACTCCGTTTGCCTAATCGAGAGATTATTTATCAAGGATACTCGTAATAATAATAATCTTAATTGTCATATCTTTTTCATTATTATGTTACGAATAAGTTGAAAGGAAGTATGTCGCATGTCTTAAAGCTTCAGACTTCGACGTAGCAGCGTAATCCACTTAGGACTGCAATTTTCTTCGCTATAATTTCCCGCGCTATGACAAGATAAATGCAATTAGCTGCAAGGTACCTCCGTACGACATGGAAGCTTCTAGTTTGCTTCAAGACACTTCCTTACTTTCAAGTGTCAAGCAGAGGATTTTAAAGCTTCGCATTACAACGCTTGTGCTTTGTTAATATGTTGCACAAAGAACATTGACTACAGTATTTAAACATATTAAAATATCCCAGTTATACAGAAACTCTTGTTATTGTTCAAATAATTGATATTTTTTTAATGAAAAATTGAGAATTATAATTAAAGATCTTCTTATAGACTTCTTATAAAAAATTCTTAGAAAAGTAGAATATCTGTGACAATAATACTAATTGATAAATTATTTGATATAACGTTGTAGTACTGAAATAATGATGCGAGAAGATGGTCGTAGTGAATTGAAGATCATTACTTTCCGATTTTCCTACGGATTGGAATTTTATTTGTAATTAATCCCGTCAATCTCAATTTTTATTTGATAATGAAAAGGGAATTTAATAGCTATCCTGATTAAAGTTGACAAACTCCAAGTTCAATTATCGCCTTCCTGATTTCTTACATCTGCGCCAAAGAAATACATTTAACTCGCTAATGCTTTTCTTTGTAGAACTAAATAGACAAGAAGTTGCTTAAGTGCTGTAACTATTACAGATTTCTCGCTCAATAAGCACAGAGAAAATTTCGACATTCGTTTTTCAATTATAATATAATTACACATCGAATAATTTAAATTAATTGTAATTTTTAATATTATAATCGAGTATTCTCTCTCCTTAATAATGTATTATATATATTTTTTCTATATACATCTTGGAGTCGTAAACGTTATATCTTTTTGAATAATTACGCAAAAATTGTCTTCACTTTCCATTTTGTGATTGAAAATTCAGAGACAATCTATATTCATATAAAAACTGAGGAACCGATTCAAATTGAATTTTCTTATTTTTAAGATTGATTATTTTTATAAGTTTTAAAAAATATTATTACGTACACGCAAAAGACATACGATATTTTATCTGCTTCGAATTTCCTTTTCGAAAGCAAAATTCGCCCGTTCGTCATTAATGCCGGTTTGTACGTTCAAAACAACGTCCGAACAACGTCCCGGGATGAAATGAAATTCGTACAAATGTATCACGCAGAAGCATTCCCTGAAATCTTCCGAGTTTCAGTAGCGACAATGGCCATTGTCATCTCGATGCATACGCCTCGGCTCTTCGATCGCGTTTGCAGCGTTCCTTTATCGCGATGGCGAACTTTAGTATTGAGAGGGTCCCTACTTCAAGTAACGATCATTAAAGCGCAGATACCTAACATTAAAACGGAGCCATCAGATGCTGTCGAGAAACTTCGGTAAAGATCCTCCGTATATATGTATATAGCCCATTTCTATTATCAACTTCATTCATACGATCTTGCGTTTTATTTTATGATATAATCGTAATCAGTAATTCCACAAATATTAAAATTTCTTTTTAATTCGAGTCACTTTCGAGCTGTTGCTGGTCATTACAAGATTTTAATTTAATACTGGATACTATTGTTTGATTGATTCAATTTGCATTACACTATGTTACAATAATTTTGTATCTTGACTCATATTATATACAAAGGACTAACACGCTGGATTATCGCTGTTAAACGGGAATTTAGTTTTGAATATTTTAACTGTAATGTATTCGTTTGAACGTGGTGTGGCAAAGCTATCTCAACTTGTATAATAATCTTTGAAGAGGACTGATGATAATATAATTTTATAGAATAATTATTGTCACATCGATATGTTAGACTGTAGAATTTAATTTTTTTATTTTATTTTTATTTGTATTTACCATATATTGTACTGAAGAAGATTCTGTGAGTTGGCGAAATTTACATTTATGTATTAATTATATAAAGATAATTAAATTATCTTTATTCAAACATCTTATTTGCTTAATTATATTGATCATTATCAAAAATTCTGTATTTATTTTTAATCTTTTCGTAATCGAAATTATATTTCCCGCGAAACTTATTTAGAAATAAAAACACGATGATTTCTTTAAATATCTTAAAAATTATAAAAATTGTATAGTTATGACTCATTAAAAGCTGTGTGTTAATGTACTGGCATCTTACAGCGTTAAAATATTGACTGTTTGAAGTTACAAAAGTACCGAAAAGTACAATGTGTTCGGATTGTTACACACTACGTTGATCAAGGTCCATAATCAACGATTGATTTTCTTTGATATCGACAAAATTGTCGATGGAACGATGACAGATGTAATTCGATTAGTGAGAATGAGAAGAACTCCTTCAGTTAGACCTGATTTAATAGACTCGCTTGAGAGGTCAGCCCTCAGAAAGTTTCTAATTGGGTGCTTTTAAGCGACCGGCTTGAGCTGCGCTAACACGTATTACCATTTTAAACTCACTGCCAGCGGCGTAACTATATATAAATCATACGCAAATGTTAGTAAGATCGATACAAAGTTCGTTGAAATATATGATAACTATCGTGTGCAACATATACATATATTGCGCAAGAAATAGTATACAGGTGCATTTCCGTCGAAACTCATAAAAAATGCGCGTAATAATCTAGACAATATATGTATATAAATCACCATGTATAAAGTTCTATTTACATTTAAAGTGAATTATGATAAAAATTGTGAAAAGTGAAAAGAGCAAGCGGAAAATCTCGTTGAACAAGCAAGGAATTATCATATAATTCTATCGCCTATAAAAACGATAATTAACCAATAATATTAACTAAATTTCTGAAATTGATATAAAATACATATCACTCGCAAATTAAAAAAAATTATAATTATTGCTTCAATAGTTTATCTTTGTTTTTTGTCAAAATTATACGAAAACATTCTCGTGTATTATAGATGTGACCTATATTCGATGAACGTTTGTAAATAGGATCAATGAGTAACGCTTAAATCATTTCTAGGTAACAAATTAAATGGTAATTATACCGTCAAAACTACTTTTATCTAGTGATATCTTTTAAGATATTTTGCACAATTGAATTAAAAATCATATCTGTAATATTTTCCGGAACCAAATTTTGTTAACACACAACCAAACATTTTATGTAGTTAAAAACAAAATTAAATAGAAAAAAAATTTGGGAGTCGAGAATATCTTTTATGTTTTTAAACTTCGATTACGTTAATTTCAAATTAAATTTATACAAATAATTTATATTGCATTATGTAAATGTGTATGAACTTTTATATTACATTAGATCGTCTAGTAATTTATATTTATTAAATATTTAATTTTTAAATTATGTTTGCTTTTAGAGACGTTATAATCGAAATCTATATGTAATGTGATATTTTAATATAAGATATAATATGATATAATGGAAATTCGTATAATATAGTATTATTATCGATATAATATTTTTATAACAGTATTTTTATATCTCTAAATAATTGTCTATTTTAAAAGATGTAATAAGTTTACTTCATATCAACCAAAATGGATATAATACTAACATTCCAAGCCATTTCGTTGTTCCAACAACTATTTAGCTTTGCGCATTGTTATATACCTATATCTAACCGATTTATCTTTGTATCATATTATATACACTACCTTATATTCGACAAAGGTAGGTACGTATGGACGCTCAAAGCTTCTCCTTGGTCTGTTATCAAATTCGATAATCTCACCCTTTATAGCCGACAGAAGTGTAACTATAGAATTCATACATGTCCAATGAAATTGCGTGAGATATATACATGTATGAGTTATCATTAAATTAACTCATATACATCTTGATCTTTTATGTTTGCAATTTTATTTGATTATATTGAATCGCATAGAACAATATTTTTTTAGCGAAAAGATCGAATAGGGAAATATTTTTATAACGTTAATTTATATTATCTTAATTTTTTATTATAACCTGCATTTACAAGTTTAAAATATTAATTTGGTATAAATGGAATTATACAATAATAATAATTTTAATATACAATTATAAATCGACATTTCAATATAATCGCAGTTAACAATTGTTATACAGATCGAATTTAGCTGTCTGATACAGGCGGATACCTTATCACTTTACGATCAAATAGCTTTACTGATCAAAGGCTCGAACACTATATTGCTGAATTAGTTAACGTCGAACCTCAAAGAGAGTTCAGAGTTCGTGGTCACGCCTAGTGTACCTTAGTATCGGACGGCTGGTCTTATCACGAGATAGCTGGATCTACGGACTTGATAAAGAATGTATCTATTATAAAACTAGGCAAAATACTTCACACACAGTATACCTATACCGCAAAAAGTATTACAGAGACTCTGATATATTCACAAAAGAAAGATTCGTGATTTAACGTTATGATAAAATCTGCATATATGTATAATGAGATAGCGAATCAATATTTAAACTGCAGACTCTACTGCAATTGTCCGCAATGGTGATTAACTTGAAATTAATTTCTTGAACAATTCTTAGAATCTATTCCAAGTATAACCAGGCACGCATTATATGAATCAATCATCCCTTTGCATGCGATCTTACCAAAGATTAGAAACTCAATTGCCAAAATTTTCCTTTTAATCTTTGAATGGGGCTGCATGCAAAATATAGGGGCGTTTCTCGTTATGAAAGCTTAAGACACACAATTCAGCCTCGACCTTACGGAGACCATTAACGCTAAACACTCATCGACTTCCCAACAATGGTTTCACTCCGAATCATCTACTATTGTGTGTCTACGAGCGCACAGAAAGCAGCTTTAACATGCAAAGTGTCTCAAACTTCTAAAGCGCCTTAAGCGTTTTGAACATCTTAAAGTCAAGTACCAGTAAAAAGTCAACCGCGTCTAGAGTATTATCCGAAGTAGTAAATCCAGATCCCAAGTAGAACAAAAGCGTTGAGAAACTATTGAAAACACGTTTTTTCGTAATATTGAGTAACATTATAAATGTCCATATAGGAAATGTTAAAAATAACGATTAATTAAGACCACTATATAAAATCATTTTAAAATGTTTTTTTACCCCGGTAAAATATTTTTTTATATAGAATTAATCCAATTTTATTATTATTTTATTACTACTACAATAAATTTTATTAATTAATATCACACATTCCTAAATGCACATGATAAAATAATAATAAAAAAAAAGTATATTCGGGGAAGAAAATTTTTGATTTTACAGCTGTTTCTCCAAACGGTCATTCATCCAAGCGTTACTTGACTTCTATGATCGTATACGAAAACTAATAAAGAGATAACCATTCTTAAACATTTTATAAATGTTGCTGCTCTACTTTAGTTTAAGCACAAATAATTGTTCAATCTCGCCGTTTTAATATTTGCGGCTGCCTGAATTTGCTTAAGCGCGATTATGATAGTCTTCTAAATATTATATTTCTAGATATGATTGTTTTCAATATTTTAAGAAACTGAATTATTATATACCTACATAATACACATATATATAGTAGCCTCTTTCATTAGTAAGTGAATTAAAAGAACTTCTCCAACATCGTCAGGGTCGCAACGGTAAGGGTTCGATCTTCGTGTGGGCGTCCGGGAATGGCGGCCGGGACCATGATAACTGCAATTGTGACGGCTATACCAATAGTATCTGGACGCTGTCGATCAGTAGTGCGACAGAGAACGGCCTTGTGCCTTGGTACAGCGAGGCGTGCTCGTCCACTCTCGCCACCACATACAGCTCGGGTTCTACCGGCGAGAAGCAAGTCGTCACTACGGATCTACATCATCACTGTACCAGTAGCCACACCGGCACCTCCGCATCGGCGCCGTTAGCAGCCGGCATTTGCGCCCTTGCTCTGGAAGCGAACAGAGACCTTACCTGGAGGGATATGCAACACATCGTAGTCAGGACAGCTAAACCTGCGAACCTGCAAGCACCAGATTGGGTAGTCAACGGCGTCGGTAGAAATGGTGAATAATCATCAATTTATTCTTGATAGAGAGAAAACATTTCTTGAAGATTAAACGCGCGTGATTTTTGAAAGAGGATAAGTTATTGGTTAGATAGTAAAATTGAATCACGAAAGTTTTAATTTTTTACAGAGTAAATATAAAAATATTATAATTGATTAATATTTATTGTTTCTATCAGAATATTTTAACCAATCTGTTAGATTCATTTAGTGAATAAATATAGAATTCTAATCTAGATAATAAAATTTATTAATAAAAAAATCAGATAAAAATTGTTTTATTGTTACTGATTTTTGTTTAACAGTAAGCCACAGTTTCGGTTACGGGCTGATGGACGCCACTGCCATGGTACGCTTAGCGAGAAGATGGAGGACCGTCCCGGAGCAACACAGATGCGAGGTATCGGCGCCACATACAGGCAGGTAAGTGCCTCAAGTTATGCTTGAAAGTTATGCTATTAAATAAATAATAAGAATTTTGAAAGTTCTTTTTTCAAGATAAAATCTTGAATAAAAGAGAATTTATAATACACGAAGAAAAAAACGACATTATACAAAGAATCATCGGCTTTAAGAAAAATGCTCGAAGGTGAGAGAAATTGGAATTTAATTCGACCATATAGATACGTACTATAGATCGCTATCTGCCCCTTGAGGGAACGAACATGTCTCTCGCAGATTACAGATTCGTCCAAGCATGTTGGCTACCATCAAGCGGACTTTACTCGTATGAAATTGCACTGGAAATCACGTGTAATGCGTCATTTACATTGTCAAGGGTTGTAACGAATGAGAACAAATTGCACGTTGCGTTGAACGAGCGTTTACATAACATAAAATGTAATCATTTTGAAGCTGCACTCCTCAAAACCATTAAACATAAAAGCCGTAGTCAAAATTCTATATACACAATAATTTTGAAAATTTCATGCTCTTAATGAACGAGCAATAGAGAATTATTAATACGATGTAATATTTGTTATTTTAGAATAATATTCAATGTTTGAAAACGAATGTACAATTGTGTTTTTTTTATCCTACTCTTCAGAAAAAATTGTTATTGATGTTTTATATATTATTCTTTTATATATATATTAATATGCTAACATTAAAAGAAACTATTTTCATTAAAAAAATGTAGAATAAAATAACAATATCAAGTTATATCTTACTACAAAAATATCAATAAGTTACTACTAAAGGCGCTTTCGAGAAGTAGCACAGCTCGGGGGTTATAAAAGTATTTAACAAATAATGCGCAATTGACCGAATTGCTCGAGCAACGATTTAAACAACAAATGGGTATATCCACTTAAAAATATCTGCAATAAAATTGTGTGCGCACGACTTGACCCGATTTTTTCGTATACTTTCTAGGACAATACCACCAAAGAGCCAATTGGTCCTCGACTTACATGTCAAGGATTGCAGCGGCGTTAATTTCCTCGAGCATGTTCAGGTAAGTTGAGCATGTCATTCACAAGTGACATCACTAATTAGCGGATTTCATGTCGGCTATGAGAAGTACAAACTCGGACTACATTTCGAGAACAAAATGTTTCGCCAGCTGACGTTGAAGTGGTAGAATTTTATTTACTTTTCATTTGAATAAACTAATTTGTTTGTCATCATTTTATACTGTCTATGGAAAACTAAGGCAAACTGTAATTCATGCTAAATAGTTATTTAATCCTCAGGAAATTAACTTAAAGTGCATTAATGACTGCTTCTGCCGACGAAATGTAATTACTAGATCCGGTTCAAATCTCGTGTTGAAGAAACTAAATGAATTAAGTTAATTACTCTTATAAAATTATTAGTTACACAGCGCGAAATTATCTCGTAAAATCTACGTAAATTCCCACTTATTTTCTTTTTTTGGATTATTTAACTAGCAGAATTAGTTATTAAAGTGTTGTTAATAAAATTTCATAAAATTATTACATACATAAAAGTTATTAATAAAATATTATGACACCAATTTGAAAGTTTTAGTTTATTTGCACAAAGATGTGTGTAGAAAATTGTAAATATTGGCAGTGAAAAATATACGTGATTGATGATAATGGCATAATGATACGCTTGTCGCAGGCGAAAGTATCGCTGATGGCAGCGAGACGAGGAGATCTTCAGATACAACTAACGTCTCCTCAAGGCACGAAGAGCACTCTTCTCGCTAAAAGGCCGCACGACATCTCGAAGGCCGGTTTTAGCCAATGGCCATTCATGTCAGTGCACACGTGGGGAGAGAGGCCGCACGGCACCTGGAAATTAGAAATTCACAATGAGGGTCGATACCTCGGTAAGTGGATTATATCTTCGCGTTATTGCATAATCAATGAAGAATGTTTGATTAATAATCGTTTGATGAACGATCTAGTTAATTGAATCAATAATTGAGATTGTATTTAATATGCCATAATTTTTCATCGCTATAACTAGTTATCAATTAAATTAACTGAAATTACTTTATTAAATTATTTAATTTGATGAAACTAATCCGCTCAATTGTCAAATTATTTAGCTTTAAGTAATTTCCAATAAATATTAATTAAAATTAGACTCTTAACATTAGAAAAACTGCATTCACCATCTTAACATAACTTTTTAAATTTATATAACAAAATCTAAAAGCCGTTTTAAATTAATTAGACTTATGCAATTTTCCAATGCAAAAAATTATGCATTTTCTAGTATAAAAAAATGTCAAATCTGAATCTTTTTAATATAGAAAGATTAATTTTGTTAATTAGATTACTTAGAACTTGATGAAATGATTAATCAAATTAGTCGATAAATATACATTTCAAAAACATTTTAATATACTTAATTAAATTCTCATTAAGTTCTTTCTTTTTTAATTTTTTTAAATAGAATTTTTTTCAATTGTTATTTGAAATATATGGAATACATTTAACTGGCATTCATTCAAAGACCATTACGCGAAATCTTAGACTTAAACGTCAAAGACAAAGCGCTTTGTAGATTATACCGGCATTAGCTCCTGCATTCGAAGATGCTCTTCGGTCGATTTAAATTTCAAATAGAATTCTACCTTGTTCACCGTAACAATAGTTTCCAAGCGCCTTAGTAACGCCTTCATAAGGTCACGGTTACCAAGTTCCCTGTCAGTTGCATCTTCCAGCCGAAAATGCCCGCAAGAAGTTCGCTGGTATTAACATCTATTTCTGACTTACACGGGAAAAAATATTGTACATAAGAAATTTAATTCAAAACGTTACAATTATCCATGATATTCTCGCGATTTTCATTACTCCTCGAACAATTGTAAACCGTATGACAAAGGATTAACCGATTCATACGCATGACATCCGGACGGAATGGCTCAGACATGTCTAGCATTGCACGCGCATCCTGCGATCCGATGCCGAGTTGGTGTTCAGCTCCGCGAGATCCTTCGAGATCCACCGCATTCTCATAGCCTCCTGTCTGGGACGCAACCGAGAAAGCTCTTACATAAGACCCATTCGCGTGCGATCACCTAAGAAGCTGCATTATCCTCAGAGACGGATAATTGCCAGATTCGAGCTGCGGAGTCCTCTCGCAAGCCCTCCTACTTATCCTTAACGGCAAATAGCAGCGAGGTCGTGGAGCAACGAAAGCAGCCGACCGAAAGCGTTAAGCCACTTCGAACTGCTTCCGTGTCGGCTCATCAAGGCCGATGGCTACGTAAACTTCCTTATGTGCTTATGCATCGTCGACCTATATCGCTGTAGAGCACATCCACATTCATTATCGCGAATTATATGCTAGAGACACGAGGGTCGCAGGAATATTCGAGACACTGTTGAACCATGTATCCAGTGTTTATACTGTCACAAGTATTCCATGGACGTATCTTGCAAACCCTGAATGTAAAGCTGCTGTGCCATCGAACAGGGATTTCCATGAGGGATAATTCTCTGACGTTCTCGTTAACTTCCTCTTAAAGGAAGCTGCTTTAAGAGGAAGTTAGTAAGAAGGCCCGTTGAGAATCACGTATATTATAACTCCATCGAACTTCTGACCAATATCTAACCCTTCAATCTCTCGGTTAATTTTTGACATACTGTATTATTATTTATTGCGTCATTCAACGCGCCAGTAAGCATCGCATTGTATTCTTGTCTCTCTTTAACCATGTCGTCCGCTTTCTTTTCGCTGCATTCACGGACGCATACCGGATCAGGACGCGCTACTCTGCACGAATGGGCGTTGATTTTCTACGGTACCGCAACGCTGCCCGATCGGACCGAGTACGCTCTTTACAATCCGGCCGGTATGAGTATGCCCAGACGACCGTTCGTCAAGCCACGCGAGACCATCCCGAAGAATCAGAACACCCTGGCGAAAGGCAAGCAGACGCAGCACAAATCCGACAAGTCCGGCAGTATGAGCCCGCCCTACGTGATGAACGCTCAGATTCAGTCCCAGAGGAAGGGCAAGGCCCGCGGTCAGTACAAGAATGGCAAGTCGGCCAATCGGCCGAATCCCAAGCCCACCGTTCAGACTCTTCGGGGTCTCACCGGAATCAATAGAGGGTCCAACAACGTAGTCGGTGACGTGCGTTTGATTACGTCGAGACCACGTGGAAGGAGTACACCCAGCCCTGTTACCAGCACCGTGACTCAGGCCGTTGCGACAACAAAGGCGCAGACCACCACGACAAGTAAACAGATTATTACACAGAAGATCATCGACGTGGTTACCGCCTCGCCCCTTCAGCGGGGACTGATCTTGTTGGAACCACCGGCAAAGGCGGCCACTAACAAAGTCCCGGCGGTATTTCAACAGTATCCCAAGATTCAACAGCTTTATCCAGTTTACGGTGGAGCTCGCGGTACCGGTCAGCATGCCACAAGGGCCAAAGGACTCGACCTGCTGCAGGACGAGCAATTTGACCCAAGGAATCTGCAACTGGATAAGGGTACCTAACGAATGAGAAACGGCGAATGTGTCGGTTGCTTAATGGCAACGATCGGAAGTTATTATATTTGCGTGGAGGTATCATTAAATTTTTACAAAGTCGATTAATTTCAATTTTAATTGAGTTAAATTAAATATTGAAATAAAATCTGCGCAGCAGCAGAAAATAGAATTTGAATTTGAATTTAATTAAAATAAATTAAGTGTAGAAATAAAATCTATTTAATTGTGCAATAAAATACGAGCACACTTTCCCGCTGTGATTATTCCACACAATTAGTTAAGAGATATTGTTGTCATTTTAAAATAACATAAGTAAAAAGTACGTTTTACATGCTCGATAATCGAATTAAAACTGTATAAATATCAGTATCTACATAATCAAAATATAATCATTTGCATTATTTGCTTGATTAAAATGTCTACGAAAGAATGTAGTGTCGCGCACACAGATAATCGCGGTGACTAATAACGTCAATCTATCTGCTCTATTGTGTTCCCAACGGCAGTATTTTAAACCGCGAGACAACAAAGAAGGTCGTTTCGCACAGCTTCCGATCGTTTCCCCATTCGCTTCCACGCATCCGCTCGCGCACCCACGTGAAGTGTGGAAAGTAGAGATGCATCGTGCGCAAAGCCCCGAAGATTAAACGGATCCGCTGGAATTTGGTTTTCGTATTTTCTCTTTTGTGTTAGCTGTTTCACTGATTGCGACCACACCGTAATCACCGTTACTTTTGTTTGTATACACGGATACATTATTCCTGGCTATTAATATGCAACACTGTAGACAAGCTTATTTCCCATTATTCATGTTTTTTTATTTAAGTTGAGAATATTTCACGTGATTCTTATATATCTTTTATTGTAAGTATGATGAAACTCTCTTTTGCATAATACTCTCCTTTCTGAAATGAGAGTCCTCGATGTTTTCTGCAAAACTTTATTTTGTCTGTGACATTTTTGTCGGAATGTTTTATGCAAAATATCTTGTATGATATTTCGTATAAAGTATTGTCTTTAGTTCTTGTTAGATGGATCTAGAATCTAAATAATGCTGTAAGTAAAATTTTATTGAGTAAATTATATATTTGCATGATTAATATATGCATGAATAAGAATATATACAAATATTTTTTTAAACAAATTTTGCTTGTATTACTGCACTTAATGGTTTTTACGTGCTGAGAGAACTGCCAGCTCTTTTTGTGTAGTTACTTATAAATTATTTGCGAGTTGTATTTAAGAAAATTGTTCTCGATATACTATGTTTTTATATTTTATAAAATATCTATTCTTACACACCGTAAGCTATTTGCCATCGCATCCACAGAACTTTCAGGAAGCTCTTTTGTAAGTATAAGTAGTATTTCAATATTTTGGATAGTTTTGTCGCTCTTTGTGTCAAGTGTCGGATTTTTCATCATATTGACGCTTTCTGCGTCGTTTTCCTTCCTGTTGTTACACTCGAAGCCTCTTGCGTGAACGGCAGGCTCGATAATAGGAAAACTTATCGAGGGCACTATGGCCTTCAATCACAAAACTTTCAATGACTTAGTTATCGATGAGCTTCATATGCAGCCTCGACCGCATCAGTATGCGTCGGTTATCTAATGTATTGCCGGCATGTATCGCCTTGTATCCTATTATCCTCATACTCCGTATGCAGACCATTGTCTTCTGCACGAGGAATTGTGCATTCCGCTCGCGAAAGGTATATATGATATAATATGAGTTAATAATTGTTCTAGATATTCCATATTTTAGATATTCCATTAACATTTTTATATTTATCGCTCTATTTGTCATTAAAAAATAATTGAAAAAGATACGATAACATATTTATATTTTTTCATATATAAATAATACCTCATATTTTTTTATATTTCATTTGTTTTGTATCATCGTTTTGATATTATTATCATATACCTTAATTTAAACATATTAATAATATAAAAATTTTCAGGATTGGCAAACGTTATTTTTCATTTAAACTCTTAAAGGTGACTTAAAAATACAAATACAAATAATAAGGAGCATATAGCTACAGCACAAGATGTTTTAAGTGAAAGTCATATATTTAAAATTATAATAACAAATAAGTAGACGTTTCGATCAAGATTTGATCATCAGTACAATAAAAATGAAAGGATGTTACAGAAAGTTTTCTTCCAAAAATGTTGACAATAAAACGCAAGTCAAAAATTGATGTTAACAATTTCCAATCGCTTATGAATAAGTTGACAAATTAAAATCCAAAAAATTAAAGATGTCAAGATTGCAATCGCTTATGTAACAAAATTCTATTCCGATATACAATTTTTTATAACTTGAAAGTATGTGAAGCTTCGAGAGTTAAATACGTAATTTCCAGATTCTATTTGAAAATAGGCGAGAAAACTAAATTAATTAATATAACTGTCTTAATAAATGTAGAGAATAAGAAACAGTTTAGAATAATATTCGAAAACGCTTACCACGTATTTAGTGATGAAAGTCCTTATAAAAATAATACAGAGTCTCTATTGCCAATTATAACACGAGTCTTGGAAACCAATTAGTAAAACTATTCTTGATAAAAATGTGATAACAAGCAGCAAAGCGTCAGTCTATATAACATTGTGTAAGGAAAGGAAAGGGAAGAAAAATGGAAGGGGATATTCTATTGATGAATAGAGGGGCATTTTCCAATGATTGGAAGGTAGATTTCAGGAAAGCGTTCTGTGTCGCTCTGTTTATTTAAACCCATTTCTTGTCTTTTAATATGTATCATCTCCGAGAATATCCTTTTATAATAAAATTGTTCGGAATTCAATTTTTAACTTGCGTTTCATTGTCAACATTTTTGGAAGAAAACTTTTTTGTAACATCCTTTCATTTTTATTTTACTAATGATGGTCAAATCTTGACCGAAACGTCTATTTATTTGTTATTACAATTTTAAATATATAACTTTCACTTAAAACATCTTGTGCTGTGGCTGTATGCTCCTTATTATTTGTATTCGTTACTTTTCAGTTACTTTGTCGTTACTTTTTATAGTAAACAATTTGATAACGATGTTGCAATTTTTTATGACGGTAACGCTAACTAAATAAACGCTAAGGTTGTGCTAAGGTTAGAAAAGTCACTTTGGAAAGTAATTTGTCATCATTATACGTTACTTATTGAAAAAAGTGTAATAAGTAATTACAATTAACGAATAAAAAGTAACGCGTATTATAAATTAGGAGTTTTTTTTTCAGTAACGAATGACTTTTTCAACCCATTACAAGTAACGATTAACTTTTCTAACTTTGAAGTTAGCATTACCGTCATAAAAAATTCATTATGTCATTAATTAAAATCATTATTATAACAAGGTAACGATCAACAAAGCAACGGCGTTACAAATATCGCGTTACTTGCCAACCCTGAAAATTTTTTTATATTTAAAATAGTAACGCAACGGCGAAAATTCGTAAATTTCGCAAATGGTGTTCATGATTGCACGTTGCGCTTGTTATCTCCTTTTCGAATTCTCGAATTCTGGATCACCGCGTAACCGCAAATCACTCAAAATTCAGTGAAACGCGACGACGCGAACGGTACTGAAAACCGCTAATGCGTGCCGTGAAATGGAAAAGCCGACGAGAGCGAAACGAACCCCATCATGATGGAGACTGAGCGACTCCTCTCGTCCATCATCGCTGCTAAATAATTTCCTCCATGATTGGAAATTTTTTCACTCGCTTACTCCGCAAAATGGTTCCCGCTCTCAAGGCATTATTATCGGAGATTTCTCTCCTCCAATAGTACGCGCTAACGACCTATCGAGCACAATGCCCTTATATTTCCATTGTCTTACCAATAGCCTGCCACATCGTCCCAATCGACTTTTGACATTTTTTGTTTTTCTCTCATCATCCTCCCGCTTATTTTCTCCAACCCTCGGTTGCAAGTTATTTTCTCGATACTTCTCGTAAAAGCGAGGGAGCTGTCCAAGCGTCGCGACGCTTGTCACTTTACAGTTACCTAGCGCACTCGTAACAGCGAACATTTTAACGATTACTTTATTATAGCTGGCAGCCGGTAGTTTACGGTTGCCAGCCAAAAAAGCACACACGAGAGTAGTCCCGTCACGATAAATTGGATCCGCTTTTCCGCCGCTTTGATTTCTGGTATCCCATCACAACTCTCTGCTTGTGAAATTCAGCTTTTCCCACGGGATTGATTTCATCTGAAGCTGTATGTACATTTTAACTTTACTGTGCTGTGTACATAAATAAGATATAAATTAATATGAAAACGTCTAGAGAAAAATAAATTTATTTCTTAAGGAATGAACGTACGTTTCATCGTAAACGGAGTAGGAAATAATAAATATTTCGAGACAGCAATATTCAAATTTATGTTTATTATCGATAACCAAGCATGATATTTTATTTTTAATCAATTCTTTAAATTTATTTTTTTATTAATATGCAAATCTTGTTAAATTGTGATGCGGTTGAAACCAGTGGTTGAGTATCAAATAATTTTCCGAGCTCTTAATACCTGGCTGAGAAGAACATGATATTTAAAATTAGCTTCCATTTAGCTAGCTTTTTCGTCTTGCCCGCAGCGCAAGGAACTTGCAGATGTATCTTACCCGAAGTAAAAACGATAATCGTCCACGAGTTTTTACTATTCTCTCGTTGCAAAGCACTTTGCATTTAATTCCGACGTACACATTGCGCTGAGTGAATGTGCGCGGAGAGTCGTCGCTGATTACTCGGTTATTTTTAACTCTAATTTAATCAAGCCTCGACCCTTCTTCCCCCGCGCGCGTTTCCCTTCTATCGCGGACATTGTTCCCGCGAGCCAGCTTAGGACGAAATTTTCCCCACGGCGTCCCGACGCTTTATTAATTTCCTGGACGGCGCCGACGACGTCTCCGCCACTCCTTCCGCTGTCTCGCTTGCGTCTCGTCTACTTCGCAAAACCTTCCATTTTACCGCCTTCACCTCTCTGCGAAATACAATATCTTACGTTATATTTGCGAGCAAGGTCGCGGAATAATTTGCGAGAAAGTGAAAAGCACGTTATTCAACAGGCAGATGAAAAATTAATAGTAGATACGTTCGATAATTATAATTTTGCTGCTCTGCGACGATTTAAATATTAACACGAATATTTCATAAGGTTTGTGTTTTAAAAAATAAACATTTTTTTTGACACATTATTGTACATAAGACGTTATTAATATTTTTATATTATCTGGAGATAATTTAAATTCCCCGTTTCCATCAGAACCTCGCCCATGAAAATGCGAGGTTTGCGAGCTTTCCCTTCTATTCTCAGGAATCCACGGTACGTATACCACGATATGTAAAATCTACCAGGGTTGATTGCAATCGTGTCTGCATGTGTGTACTTAATGTAAAGATGACAGTAGTTATTATTGTGTAATTGCCGTACAGGAGACAAGTACGTTATTCTCAGTCCATTCTTCGCTTACAGAGCAAAGATAAAATTGTGGCACGCTTGGATTTTTTAAATTTCACATTAATCGCATATGTATATTACACGTTTGTCAAAAAATTACAATTATTTAAAGAGTATTAGAGGCAGAAGAATTTTCAAATATTAAATAGAAAGAAGAATAATACAAAGAAAGGAGAATTTTGCAGAAGAATATAGTTTCGGCATTACAAATTTTGACAATTACTTCAATTTCTTTTTTACTTTCTTTTATGTGTGCTATATATACCTTTTCTGTAACCTTTTTCTGTCTCCAATACTTAAAATTTCTATGTGGATCATTCTTCGCGAAGTGTTTCGCACACTCATACGAACTAGTTATTAGCTACACGGAGAGAATGGCTTTGCTGAAGTAACTAAAAATTTAGCTAGATGCAAATTTAAAAATAATTTTATTGAAGTATCAAAATAATAAAAAATGTAAGACTTGATGTAAAATGTAAAACTTGTTAGAATGTCAAAATATTTTGGCAGTATTGCTCATCATGTTTGAAATTCCTACATAATTATTTTAATTACTTCAACATAATTATTTTCAAATCTATATTTAGCTAAATTTTTAGACACTTCAACAAAATGGTTTATTGTATTATTAGAATCGTGCTAACATAGATAGGGTTGTTGTTCTAGACACACTGGAGGAGTGGAAGCTTGTGTTCTTCGGCACGGATGCTTCAGTGGAAGTGGACGACGAGCTAGACAAGGACAAACCGCTGCCGCCAGTGGTCCCTGAAGAAGTCAACAACGCACCTTCGGACGTCCGGCACAATACTGTGGATACCGAGGGCGATCCGTGGACAGGTAGCCGAAAGATGGATCGAGTCTCACACCCAGAGGTGCAGAGGCCAACAACGGAGAACCAGACGAGCGGTTGTGCCGCCTTCGAGGCCGGAGGCAGCGGGTGCCTAGGTGGGTGCCTCATACTACTCCTTCTAGCCTACCTGACCAGCGTGCCCGGCTGGCGAGAGTTGATCACCAGCTGGCCTGCCTCGACGAACAGTCGGAGCGAATTTGGCGCGGAGGCGGATCGGCTGCTGATCGCGGCAGCGAACGTCGTTCCAACGACGACGTCGACGTCGTGGATTAGCAACGCGACGACGCAACGCGTCCCGGCGGCGATACATCGCGCGCCGGAAGCGTGCAGGTGTTCATGATGACAGCGGGTCGCGTTTGGCTCCGCGACGACTCGCAGTTCGATCCTATGACTTCGGGTTACCGGGATTGTCGACGCGGGTGGCCGCGCGGATCTCGTGTGCCTGACGCAGTCTTGTGATCCGTGAAATTCTAATGTACTTGTGATGCGTAAAGAGAAGGTATCGCGCGTAAAAATTGAAAGAGGGGAAGGGAACACAAAGAGGAGGATTCGTGCTTTCTCTCCCGGTGCTAATTGTCTCGAGAAGAGATCGGAAGAATTATCAATACTGGAGTATCGTCTGTCCTTCTCTTCCTGAGAAAAAAAACGAATGTGTGTTGGATGGTGGACACATCGAGTCTGAGGACTCTATGGCTCCGTTAGAGTGTTCCTCGTGATCAGGGAAATGCGATTTTCTCGTTAACACGCGCCGTTAGACTTGGCCTAATTCATTTGTATCGTGCAAGAAAGCGAGTCTCTCATAGTCGACACGAAACGTCCGGACGTCGTGACAACACTCTACTCGTCAGGAGTGTCAATGGTGGCTTCGACTGATCAAAGTTCATCGCGATGAGGATGCACGGGAAATGGAATTAAATGGCTACGAGGCAGGAAATGCATAGCTTTGTTATCGATTGCATGATGAACTCTCGGTTTCTTGTTGAAAGCACTCATTTCTGGAGGAATTTGACTTAGAGCATCCTATATTTAGACGATTAAAAAGATCTCTTCTTTTTTAATATCATTATATTATAGACTTAGCCAATTGTAAATCAAGTTAAAAGTTAATACCAATTAAGCCGACACATATTCGCGTGTAAATTTTTTCCAACTTTTTCATATTAAAAAATATAAGTTTAAAAATATAAGTTGCGTGCTACAAGAAATTTCAGCGGAACTATATGTATTCAGAAGTTTGCGGGAAGCTTCATATAATAATTTTATGATATTATTGTCGCAAATCCCAGAGGAAATTTAACATTGCAAATTTCTCGGTAGACACGAGGAAACATGATTTTTTTATATGTTGCACGACCTAGTGCTGTATTTTATCTTTCTTTCTAAAATAATGCACAGTAAATTTACATTAGGTATTTATTCCATTATTTACCTGGTAATGGAACAAGTAAGAGAAAATGTAAATGCTTTATAATATCCACAGTAATAAATAAAGAATAGGTATAATATATTTATTCTTTATTTATTAGTTGTCATTTAGGATTTAATACAATGCGCGGAAATCGAGAGTTCACTACTTTCCGAAAATTTTCTGTCTCATAAAATTGCTACAGTTACAGCTGTAATTCTACGGACACTTGTAAATATATGCAAAATGTATTTATTATACTTCGCGAAGTTACGTACGATCTTAGGAGTTTCAAAAGTAATGGCGCTGCGATCCCGTGGTATCCTCTTCCGCCACGTTGAACGGAGCAGAAATGGGTAAACAACCAATGTTTTGATAAATGTATTCTAGAACTCTGCTAGACTTTTACTGAAAGCAGTCGTAAGGATAGCATAATGAACCTTAAATCCACAATCGCTATTTTAACTGACACTGTATTTAACATTAGCAAAGACGGTTAATTGAGTTTACGTTTTATTTAATTAATACAAAGAATTCATGTTTAACTTATACATAAATTAAGTAGCATGTTGCTTAATTTATGCTACATTCAGCATTAAAGATGCTTAATAAGAATTTAGCTACATATTTTCTTCCATATATCTTTTTTTAGGTCTATGATGATTCAAGTGTAATTATACATTATATTTGTGCACATTAAACTGAACATTAAATTTTCTTCCAAAAATAAAACCAAATTTGAAGACTCGAAAACAGATCTGAGTGATTAAATGTAATGCGATCTATTTTGCTCAATTCTGCTCAATACTTCAATCGAGGCTCGTCATACGTCACAGCGTCCCATATTCGCATGTGTAATTTTCCACGTGAACTTTTTGTACGAGACAAAAATAAAACAGGGAGCCAACTGCCATTAGCGAGATCCGACTCGCCCGGTCTCGCGCCCTGCCTCTCCTGGAAAAATTGCCTCGCGTAATTTATAATACATCTGATGGAACTGCTTGTTGTTTACTTCAGCCACGTCGTCGATTTTGATCGACGAATTTTGGCTTCAACGTGTTCCAGGGGAGAAGGGAGGGAACAGTTTTTCTCTCGCCTTCTATTTCTTCTTCTCCTTTTCCTCTATCTCTCCTTTTCTTCTCTTTCCTCTTTTTCTAGCTCACTCATTCAAATGCACGAAAACACAATCTTTCTGTTCTTCTCTATCTCTCTTTCTGAGTCTTTTCATCTATCGGTCTGCATCCCTTTTGTTTTTCAACATCCTTAACATCCTCCTGTCTGCCAACTTTCTTACATTCTGAACCTTCCTCCACGCTTCATAAGCACTCTGCGTCCTTCCAAGGAGGTAGGATATTCGGTGAGCTATCAGCACTGCCGAAACTAGAAGCTATAGGGAGGTTCTCCGGCTGCATATGTAAACAGTTGGGGATAAGGTACACGAGGCTGTATGTGGATTTTGGATGCATGTTGAACCACGGGCTTTGTCAAGTACATGGTCAACGATGGTGGCCATGTACTTAGAAACTTACTTTGATGAACAATTATACCGTTTCTTGTTGTTAATATTATACTATTATATGTATTATTTCATTAACTGCAAATGTTTTCGTTATTCATAATATAAATAAGATCAACATGCAAAGTTTCGCGAAAAGGATATAATGATCAATGAAAAAGGATACTCTAGGTTATTATTATATTGAAAAATATTATAAATATACAAATATTATATACTTTACATTACTTTTAATAATTTAATGAAAGAATCGTGTTTGTGCCACGAATATTATTTGTATGTCCATAATTCACATCCGGTCTCGAAAGTACAGTATATCAAATTTTCGACACGAAACTTGCTCAAAACGTTGTTAACTATGATAATTAAAAATCGCGTGATCCACAGGTGTAAGTAATTAACGCCCTCAACGCTTAATCGATTCGATGGCGATAAGAATGTCGCGTCGTTAAACGATCCGATATTTTCTGAACAATTTTTAGACCTCGTTTTGCTTGGAATATCGATAAAAACTGGCGGATACGTTCTATTGCTAGCTTAGAGGTGATCGCGCGTGCTTTGTAAAAATTTCGATTGCGGGGATAAGCGGTGAACTCGACGAGAAAGCCGGAGCTTCACGACGAGTTGACGGGGCGATTTTTCTTTATCGGGGGACGATCGTCAACGAGTTATCGAGTCGGAAGGAAGTTTTCACCATCGAGAATCCGCCACTGCGAAAATTCGTTTCTAGGATTTACGATTTATATCAACGCGCAGAATCCAATCATGTTCCGTCGAAAGTTGTAGGCCACAAATCAGAAGTTAACTGCGCACGACAAGCCAGGAATCGAATTACAATGGATATATTGTTATTTCTGCTTGGATAATGCATGCCGATTATAAACAAAACACGGACAGTTTTGAACGTTTGTACGAAATCGTGGGTTAAGAAATTAATATGTTGTACCCACAGATATCGTCATACCTCGATCGAAAATCATACAAAGATATAATATATATTACCGTTCATTTAAATTAGTCAATAATTTATTACCACTTTATTAATTTTTATCTATAAGATTTTTAAGATATGAATACTACGAATTTGATTAACATTTTACAAAAGATACCCGAAAAAGTACGCGATCGACTTGTACAAAACTTTCGTGGCGCATCAATATCTACTTTAGAAACTGATGCATCACCGAACAGCTGAACAATCATACGAAAAAGGGAATATTGAATGGCTGCGGAAATTAAATTGACGTTACAGTCGCAATACTAAACGTCGCTTTCCAAGCAACGTCCTGCGAATGAAACGTTTGTGATTTTTCGAGATGCACTGATGCTCTAATGGATGGCTATCGAATGCAATCACGAGGAAAAAAAATGTATGCTCGAATATATCAATTCCTGAATCTGACAACTATCTCGGTCAAGAGACGAAAAAATCGGTCAAGCATCTGCTTCAAATACACTCAACTTTGAAATTAGTACTCGTCATATAAATTTATGTATTATTAATATACTGAATAAAAATAAAATAATATTTTACTTATATATCTATAAAATAATAATGATGAAATAATAATACAGTAAAATGTGATTATTATAGTATGATTTGAAATATACGGTAGCATAATTAGTAACAAAAGTATTCGTTACGTTCAAAGATTTAGTAGCATGTAAGTATTTTTTAATTACATAAGCAAGAATATTACATTTTCAATCTTAAAAGAAAATAAATGCCATATATTTTATAGTACCAGTGATTTAAAATTTAGATACGACTCTTCACCGCTTTCGATGTATTTTTAAAACATGTTACCGTGCATCTCACATATTAAATTATTAAGATTGGTTTATTTTTGTTGCTCGACCTCAATATTTCTTTTATCGAACATCGTTGTTAGCGGAAAAGTAAAGCGAAATTCTCACATTAAAAGAAAAGTCCAAGTCGATTCCAAAGCTGCGAATGAGATCTGAAAGAATATCAAATTGAGTACTTCACAATCAGATTATATTAGCAACTAAATTCTCGTTTCTTACAAAATGAAAGAGACACTAAGGGCGAATTCTGATATTTTTTGATGTGAACGGAAAAGATATTTAATATTGCATTTCCATCGATATTGAAAGATGCAAGTAAAATCAGTTCTTCTTTATCCTTTTTCCACAGTTACAATATTCATTTATTTATACGGATGAATAGGACTTTTACCGGCGATCGACATAAAAAAAACCCAAATTTTATAGTGGGAGAACGAAAAATTATGTTCACTATCGGTACAATTTCTAAGAGTTTCTTCTTTATATCTTATGCAATTTCTTTCAATTCCTTGCATAGTATAAAAATTTGAAATTTGCATAGAAAGTATATCGAAAGTATACATATTTTATTTCTGCGTATCGTTTTCAATTGTGATTTTATTGTATGTTTTTTTTTGTACATAGCATTTGAATTTCAATTTACTGAACAAAACTAAAATTTAGTTTTATATAAAGAATTAATTTTTCTACAATTCACAATATTGTTATGTTCCAAAAAATATTGACTTGTTTCTTTTTTAAAGCAATTAATTTCTATGACAGACTAGATCTTTTAAGAGGTCTTCGGTATTCACGAAAATTCTCTTTAGTTAAAATTCATTTTTAGTAATATAAATCGGAAGAAAAACGCTATATCACGAAGTACACTGAAAGGAAAAGAGCAATTCTGATATCGTTTGAAGCAGTAAAAGAGGCGGATTGAAGTGGAAATTCAAAGGCGCGTTGATTTACAGACGAAGATTCCTTGAATTTCATCTCTGATCAAAAGGATAGTTCGGTCAGCATTTTGCAAAATGTGAGGGAATAATTTTAATGACCCGGGTACAAGCAAAATCTGATAAGGGAAATACCCGCACAGTAATCCCTATCATATTCGCAGATTAATTGCGAAATGTAGTCGGCTACCACCCTAAGATTAGTTGGCTTTACTATTGAAATGTGTTCATAATCTCAAAAATTAATTTTTCTCTTGCAGCTTTGAACGACAAGAATTCTTTCAATGTCAAGTTACATCTATCATTAAATTTTAAATTAAATGTTCATATAAACGTTAAATATCTTTTTAAATTATATCCTTTAAAAGATATAATAGAACATATTCATTAAAACCACGCGACTTGACTTAATTAAATATTATGTAATAGAGAGAGAGAGAGAGAGAGAGAGAGAGAGAGAGACGAAGAAGTAA